TTCGTGGTACACAATCTATCTCACTAGGCCCTGTGGGGAACGTGTTTGTCTCTTCCTCCAACTGGCAGGGGACAAAATCAATCATGACTTATTGTTGGACTTGCCTTTACACTGTCTCTCGCGTACATATCCTCAGTCTACCTCAGCCATCAGGAAGGTCAAACACAGAGCGTAACACTGCACCAAAAAAAGAGCAGTGACTGATATTTGGCAAACCATCGATCAGTTCAGCGGAACATTCTGAAAGCTGTTGTTTGTTTTTTGAATGCCCCACTCATTTCAAACGACTTGCCTTTGTTCTAAAATCTTATGAGACATTGACATGAAAAAGCATAATATGTCACTCCCAATTTGTACAATTCTTTAGATCGCTCTTTCTCATCCACTATTTTATACCAGTTCCTTCTGGTACCTCACTTTGGCTTGATACTCTCCGACTAACATCCAAGTGAAGGTGAAATATGTATGAGACTGGAAAAGGGGGATCCACTACACGTCTCATTATATAAAACACTTACCAAAAAGCACTGAAGAAGAAGCTCTGTATATTATTCTCATTTTACTCATGTCCTTGAATTTGACACATGGTTTTTACATGGGCCAATCACTGTTCACCTGAATGCTACACAGGGTTGGGTTGGATATATGAGACAAGAGGGAGGAAGATAGCAAAGGTACAGGATATAGTATTCATTCTTGGGGTAAAGATGTATTCAAATTCACTTTAACCAGTTGTTTCGAGCATGTGATATATGTATTCATTATGTAATATCACATTATTCGCCTCTTATCTATTGTTAATCGGTCATTTTTCTCTCCCATAGCAAACAGAAAGAGACTGGAATCACTTAACCTTTTTATTATTATTTTTCTCTTCTTCCACACTCACACGCACACAAAAGAGGCAAAGATATACCTTTAGTTATAGCAAAAGATACAGTTAGGATCAAAAGGTATGATGATTTTTTTTTTCAATTTTGCCTCAGCACACCACCACAGTTGATTTTACATCAAACAATCAAGAAGTGATTACATTGTAGACTTTCAAGTAGAATTCAAGGGTAAGTATTATCTCTAGTAATTTAACCCAGCCCTCTAAGTAATAATAAATTGACTGACAAGTAGTTTTATGGAAAGATGAAGCCTGTTTCTCCTTATTTCATGACATTCTAAGTAGATAATAGGACACGGGTTGATTCCAAGTGTGTAATGCTGGAACTCTCAGGAAGTTCCAAAGAGAATTTGATTCGGCCATCATTACGTTGAAATGACAAAATAAACCTATCATAGACATAGCAAAAACATTAGGAGTGGCCAGATCTACAATCTGGTGCAGCCATAAAAAGAAGGAATGCATGGACCAGCTCAACAACACCAAATGGCCTGAAAGAACACAGTAGAGAATAGAGCATCATGAAAACAATTATTTCCGTTGATAAGAATAAAGCCTTTACAAATTCTAGCCAAGACAACATTTTGGAGGAAAAAGGCATATCGCTATCAAAGTCTGCAATCAAGAGATGCCTTCATTAAGTATATACACATTTTAAAGCATGCCGCAAATCTCTGGTTACGCTCAAGAAACATCTAAAAGTGGCTGTCCCAGCTAGTCTTTCCTGGCACTGTCCCCTGAACCCACTGTCCCACTCCTCCCCTGCAGCTGAGCCACAACACTGGAAGTACTGGATAAAGAAGACTATGGTAAATGTGGGATTACATATACATATGTATGTTTAACTTATTTGCAAGAATGATGTCTGAAGAAATTTATGTTTCAACCTTTTATTTTTTTAACTGAACACCAAATTTCATAATTTAGAATAAAGAACCCAAAAGCTAATTTTGGTCTGGTTTGATTTAGTTAGCCTGCATTTAAAATTATTCTATGTACATTTGAGCCATATAGACGGACCGTGTATAAAAGTCCAAAACTGCACCAAAACAACATTTGTATTTTCTTGCAAAATAGTTGAGGTATGACGCTGTTGCAAAAGGTTACAAGGTTAGAAGGCCTGTAACATGCCTAATGGCTAGCTCTTAGCA